TTTCCTTTCCTTTCCTTTCCTTTCCTTTCCTTTCCTTTCCTTTCCTTTCCTTTCCTTTCCTTTCCTTTCCTTTCCTTTCCTTTCCTTTTTCTTTCAGGGTTAAGTACCTCTACCTCCTGCACTTCTTGTTGAGCTCTCCTTCTCTGTCTCTTGTATTCTGCAGACACTGTAGAAGATGAAATGGAAATGGCCACAGTACGACATAGACCTGAAGCTCTTGAACTGCTGGAAGCACAGAGTAAATTCACAAAGAAGGAACTTCAGATCTTATATAGAGGTTTCAAGAATGTAAGCACTTCCTTTTTTAATTTACAATCTGTTTACAGGGTATGTCACCTCAGCTGCAAAAGAGTGACTAGCAGGGCAGCTCATGAGATTCAGTAATCAAATATTACATGTCTGATCAGATGAGGAACAATCACTCTGAAACAATGGGGCTGTTTAATGACYACAAGATGCAGACAAAATGGAAAGCATCCGGAAGAGAATAATTATAACTTAGCATAGTAAGACTTTGTTCAAAGACAAATTGAAAGTTGTCTTAAGGTGGTTTGCGTAGGGATGAAACAATGGAAAAGTCCTGAAGAATTTGGTCAGTAAGAGGAAGAATTTTGATTTTTGTATTCACAGTAGCTGTCACAAGAAGTAATTACTGCTTACAAGAAGTAATTGACTTCAACTGCACCAGATAATTTTTTTATTTGGTGAACAATTGTAGATAACTTCTTCAATTATTATTAGTTCTATAAATTTATAAACTTTTTAGATCCCTTTACTGGGAGTAATTGTCAATTTTTTTGCTGATAAAGTGTGCTGATAAAGTGTGCTGAAATTTTTTTGCTGATAAAGTAGTGGCAGGTCTGATGTTTTATTTGGCAGGGATCCCAACTGAGCACCCCAGTACATGGGGGTAGACTCCTTTTCCAGTGTGTTCAGCTGCCTTGCAGTGCTGGGCTTGGCTTTGACTTGTGAGGCATGCATTGTTTGTACAGAAAATTAGTAAGACTCAAAAAGATGTTAGCAAGTAGTACTAAACTCTGTTTTCTTACAAAATAGACTTCATCTTATTTTAATGTGATTTTAAAAATATCCAGTATCTTGCATGCAGTTAACATTGGATAGAAAATATTAAAAATATTATATTAAAAAAATTAATAGCTAATTTCAAATAATCAGAATTTAATGTTAATSTATATTGTCAGCTGTAAATACTGCAACTGCAGAGATCCTATGTCTCCTGCTAAGCTGAAGCTAAAGATGAATTTAATTGCATCTGTCACCTTGTAGTTTAGTTTTTCTTTCACTCTTCTTGGGTGAAAARGGCCGATTTCTTGCCTGTGGCATTTACTACTCAGATGAATCTGCATAACCAGGTATAATGTTGCTAAAAACACAGTGAAACTTTACTATGGAATCAGAGAGGATATCTTCAATACAAGGATGTAAAACTTGTAGAGTGCTTAACTCTCCTGCATTCTGTAAAGAAAGCAAGACTTGCAAAGGAATGTTTTAAGCATATATTTTTATCAAAATCTTACAATTCAAGTGAGACAGAGTCACTTAAGGTGTCCTGTCTGTGTCATCCTCAGTTCCAGAAAGTAATGTTGGCATGTTAGTGATTAACAGTGATTGCTCTTAAAAGCTTTTCATTTCCTCAGAGTTCCAGRGAACATTCCCTTGCTAATGACAATATTCTCTAGACATTGCAAATCATGATCTAATGTCCCTAATTATCTAAGGCGAAAAGGTACAAAGTATAGTGGATAAAATAAGCCTTCTGTCTGTTTCTCTAAGAAAAAATATTTTTAGAGTCTCAGAAATGAAGAACTTTGACATTTCTTTGCATGGAATGAGGTATGGAGAAAAAGAGTAGGTTATAGGGAAGTATTTTAATTGATAGCTGTTTTAGCTTTTTCTGAAGAGAAGAATTCCAGGTCTTCATATGCTTTTCTGTTCCAAGATGTAAGTTCTACTTACATCAAAGGAATATTGATGGTAAGACATAGTAAAACATCTTTATCCATATGTTTAATTKCCTTATCAGTACATGATAATTCAAGACACGCATGTATAACATATCTTTGACTATTTAGAGTTAATGAGCTAATGAACTTCAGGAGGTTTRTGTGCAATATCTATTGCAAAATTATCCATTATGATCTAAAATGCTGTRAAGCATGCCCAAAAGTTAGTTCTGTGAACATGTTCCTGGGGATCCTGCTCCAAGTGGGCCTGCCTATGCAGGAGTGTGRAAACAGAAACCTCCAGAGGTCCCTTTCAACCTCAGCCATTCTCTGAGTCTGTGACATTCTGTTTCATCACTCCACTAAGCAGGAAACTCCTCTGAAAAGATTTAATGAAACACCCAGCACATATATTTAACATGACTCCATCAAAACTTTTGCAGATCCTACCTCTGTGCTTTATGCTTTTCCCCTGCTGTTTGGCTGTCTATCTCTTCAATAATTTAACTATATAAAACAAGATAAATTAAGGCATGAACTTCAGTTACTGTAGTTCTGCTGATGCTGTGGTCTGGTTAGATGAAATCAGGAGCATCCTACAGCACAGTAGTACTAATTGAAAAGCTCTTGCCATAGGATCCCATTCCAGCCTGCTAATTTCCCTGAATCCTGTTGAGTTTTAGGATATCTGTTCTGAGATAAGGATGAACAGAACTTTTCACAGTTTAACTCCAGTTATTTGTTATTTTTCACTTGAAATCGCTTACATGTAGTTCTGACTGACTTTAGAGGAGAAAGCAGCAAAATACAACTGTATTTCTGCAGTGTTGATGATCACAAAGTTTGATTTATTCTCATCAATTTGATTTTCTGCTGTACACAAATTAGATGCAAAACCCAGGTAGATGGAGCACAGAGAGCATCTCTGTGTATGTAAACACCTGAAAGCTTTAGAAAGTCTCAATCACACTGTAGGATGGCTGATGCATTGAATAAGCTAGAGGTYGAGTATAATTGCAGGGAATACTCCAAGATGATTGAAATGCCTTTGGGACAATGGCTGTTTTGGTAGAACTCAAGGTCAACACTTACAGTGAAAGGGGAGATAGACTAAAGGAAACATAAGGAGGTGAGATGAGCACCTTCAGATGGCCTAACAACTATTATAAGAAAAATTATCAAGGGAGAACTCAGGTAATTTAGCCATTTCTAAGCTTCTATACTATCCTTGAAAAATGAGTTTAAGTCCYAAACCCTTCTCAGGCTCAAAAGGTTGTCCCGAGCACTCTGGCTTTACAATATTCCTGTGCTGTTGTTGATGAATTGTTGCTCAGCTGCCATCACAGTGGGACTTTTCCAATTTGTATTTGGCTTCCTGTCATCCCATTTCTTGTAAATTGAAATTGTGATTGCTGCAGTCATTAACCTTTCAAACCAATGGCTCTGTGGCAGTCCTAGTACAAGTGGTACTTCACAATAAATTGTACAGACTATCAAGCATGGACTCAACATGTGGTCTTTCTTTCTCTTTTGTCCATTGATAGATCTCTCCCAGTTTTAAAAATGTCYCTGAGCTATGGCACATTTCCATTTTAAAAATAGCTTGATAATGCTTTTGCTGCACMAAGATGCTCCTGTGCTAAATTTAAATGTTAATACACTTTTAATTTTTGTTGATTATTCTTGTAAAATTTTTTGTAGAAAACTCTGTTGGGAAACTACCAGGCTTCTCAAAAAAACGGATAGGATTTTTCATGAACTTTTATCTTACCTTRCTATATATCAGAGAAAATATAATTTGAAATCATACATGCATAAAAATGTCCATGGGCACATACTGTAGCTTTAAATAGGCAGCACTTTTGACATTTATTGGGAAAATGGCATTTCTAAGGCACCTTTCTTCCCTACTGCAAATGAGACAAAGAACGATAGTTAGAAAATAAATCTGACAATGTTACTGCTCAAAGATTGGTTCCCTTATCCCACTACCCATCTATGAGCATGAGTCAAAACATGCTAATTTATTCAGATATTTTTCTCTTTCAGTAATGATTTGATGGAAGCATTGTATTACTGTATGTTGCATTTGTAAATCTCACAGAAAATTTAATGGCAGCTAGTTTTAGAGGTGATGAATCTCCTTTATTGATTGTCTAAAGATTTGAGTTTTGCATTAGAACATTTTCTCATGTAAATAGAGTTTTAAAAAGCAAAAAAAAAAATTAAATTTCATAAAAATAATTGAGATTTAGAAGAGCAGAATTTAATTGGAACACTGAATAAAAATAATTTTCACAGTATATATCACTTTTCTACTCCCACAATCTTTTTTTCAATAATAAAGATGAAAGTTGGGTATACACTGTGCATTTTGCAGGATATGCACTAACTAGTGCAATACACCTCAATGTAATTTTGAGTACRGAAGTTAAAGATTTCAGAATTATTTAACTTTTCTTATATATTTGTATGCACAATATTCTAGAAACACTGAATACTTTTTTTTTTTTCACTGCAATCGGAACATACTTGGTAAGAAAGAAAGGTTATGAAATGTATCTCAGTGTCCTACACATGGATGGCTTTTACCTTTATGGCTATGCTATTTGCACAGCCTCTGATCTATGGCTGATAGAGATGTACAGTTCTGTCTTTCACTTCTTTCAAATATAGCTTCTAAGATGATCAATGTCTGGATTAGAAATTTTTTTGTACAAATTGAAATCTTGTATTGACAAGGGGTATAGACATTTGACTGTAAAAGAGATAAAAARTGGGTTTTGCAAAGAGTTAAAATACCTCTGTGGTGATACAAAAGATAGATTTTGAACTTCATTCTGTTTTCCTTTTTTCTTACTTAACCTTTTCCGCCTGTTCTAAAGCATGACAAGGGACAATGACAACATAATCCTCTTAGTTTATATCTCTGGAACACTGTATATTATGAAACAGAGGCTTTCATGCTACAAGAACTAATATTTTASCTTGGATCAGCTTTCTCTAAATTGTCAGTGTCACCTATCTCACAGAGATAATAGGATGCCTTCAGTGAGCTGTGATCACACTCAATTCTACACTGAACCTGTGTGYCTGTGTTGAAATGAGTAAATGCAGATTTAAGATTAATACAGAGAGGAAAACCAGCACAGAGAGGAAAACCCCCAAACTGAACAWGAGTGGAAGTGGCACTAGTGCAAGAGTATTTTGCCTCTCACATCAGTCCTCCAAAATTTGTTCTTGTAGGTGAAGTAGCTTAGAGCTTGAATATGCTTTTCACCCTCCCATGTGGAGCCCTAGGACAGGGAGGAAGATTTTTCATTT